GGGGCGCTGCGCGGGTCGGGAGAGGCCCCTGGCTGCCGCCCGCTCCGCAGGGAGGGCCCGCGGGGCGAGCTGGAGCCGTTTTTCCATGGAAACGATCACTCTTACCTCCGAAGACTTAGGGTTGTTAGCTATTGAAGGACAGTGGGAGAATGTCACAGTCATGGAAAACATACACAGAAGTGCTCGAGGTTTCCAGATCGTGGCCTCCGCCGCGGCGGACACCGGCCGGCCCGTCGAGCACCTGAGCCGGGGACCGACCGGGCTCCCGCAGTCTCCGCCCGTGCACGTTTCCCCGCTTCGCGCAGAAAACGCATCCTCGCCATTCCCTGCAGCGTGCAGAGGACATCAGCCCCTCGAAAAGGTGTTAAAGGTGACCAGAGCCGGAGCGCGGTAGTTAGGATTCTCACTGGAAGATTTCTGCTGCCCTCTGGTGACCATAAAGTGTATTCTCCTACGTTTCTTTTTCTCCTGCAGCTGTTAGGAATCGGAAGCCGAGTAAGAGTAAATAAATATACCTGGGCCTCTTCCTGGAAGAGCTAGCTGAAATAACAAATGTTAACGTCATGTCGTGCTTTCCGGTGGAGGTAATATGTTTATAGCTAATTCGTTGCTCTCCAAATCACGATGGCATCGCAGCCCTGAAGCTCCATTAAAACTTAAACTTTGAAGCCTTCCGGAGAAATCTACCTTGAGCGCTTAAAGATATTCTGGAAATATAATTTATTTGTGAAAAATGTTACATTTTGCTCGTAGTTATCAAATTTTCTTCCATTTCACATGAACACAGAGGGAATTGTTTCATAATTTCATTTAACTACTGAGGTATTCAGAGCTTTTTCACTTTCGCCAGTCTCCAGTTTTTGAAAAAAGTTTATTTCTCACGGACTTTCCTTATCCTGTTTTAAATATTTAGCAGTTATCTTTCTAGACTATGAGTTTTCAAGACACCACATTTAAGTAAAAAGCAAAAGCAAATGCATTACATGTAGAAACAATCATGCCTATTTATTGACGTAATAATGCATATATTTGTCATAGCCTTCAAAGTTACGGGCTCTGTCACTAAGCAGCGCCAGTGGTGACGCTCGGGACTCGCTGACAGTCGCATTCTACAATTAGTAAGTGCATAAATATTTTCTGAGGAAATTTAGTGTTCCACGTTTCAGATCCACCAGATACAAACTTGTGGGAAAGGGATGAATGCGGGAGTGCCCACCTCCTGCTCGCACAGGGGTCCGGAGGCCACTGCCGCCCACCCAGAGGAACTGGGCACAGCTGGCCCTGAAATCTGTCTTCTTAAAAATCCTGACCAATGTGGAAACTTCACCATCCATTTTGGCCACAGATTCCTCACCAAAGTTTATATCTGCAATATGCAAAAAGTGATCAAATCAATGAATAAAGCACAGTTTGTTGATAATATTCTTCCTTTACCTCAGGAGCAGAAAAAACATGACCTACTTACGAATTTTAATGAATGAATAAGGCAGAGATGGAATAAGAGTTATTTTAATCTCAATCCCCACAGAAGCAATTAATGATGACAGTGATGCTGCCTGTGAGCCAAGTAAGGCTGAGAAAATACATAGCGGTAGGAGTTGTAGGAATTGAATGCCCATGTCGGGTATTCAAAGTAAGATGACTATTGATCAGAATGTAAACATTCTGTGTAAAATGCTAGAGGTGATTGTGGGAAAATACATTCTATTTAAATTATGTAAATGCTAATTTGAAAGAAATTTGTTGCAAAAGGTCCAAAGTTAGGGAGAGTACTAAATTACCAGCAGGTATGAGATGAGATACATATTCATGTGTCATGTTGCTTGCTTCCTGCCTGTATATGTCTGCAGCTGAGAGAATGGGAAAGCCGAGGGAGGGTGAGGAGAAGAGGAGAAAGGGGTTTCCAAAGATGTGTCCAGTGCCCCAGCTCATTTTCCCGCTTTCTCTCCCAGCACATGCATACACACACACACACACACACACACACACACACACACACACACACACACCCCACCACCGCCACTGCAACCAGTGCTGCCTTCTCAAAGCATAAACCAACTCATTCATGGGTCTCAGCCTTTCTGGGAAATTTAAAACCCATACCAGAGACACACTGCCATAGCCTTTGTTAATTCTGGGCTTATACAAATTCAGCCTCTCTTTTCAGAAGTGCCCAGCTTAGAAAATTAAAATGAGTGGAGGGGAGCCCTCTTCCCTGGCCTTGCAGGGGTGCACAGGCAGGCATCTGCCGACCTGGAGGCACGATGAATTCCCCGTGAGCTTTGAACATAGTCATGGAGGACTCCCTCCAGCCAAGAGCAGGTCCTTGATGGAAATTGACAGCTCCCACCCCCATTCCAAAGGGACGCCACCACATTGCAGTCACCCCCTCGTCCCCCTCACTCTGCTGTTCCCTGAATGGAGAGGCCTCGAGAATACAAGCCAAGGTTCTCCTCAACCTAGAGTCACCAGGGACTGAAATGGCCTTGGAGGGGCTCATCATCCAGGGGGCTTCCTTCCAGACTTGTCTGATCTTTTCCATGCCTCACATTCTACATTGCCATCTCCTTTTGTTACTTAATGTTTCAGTGCAAACCCATCAACTCGGAGAAACAGGGATCAAAAAGAGAAATAAGCATCCTAAGCGTGATAAAAATGTGCACAGGGAGTCATTGTTTAGAAAGTGACAATTCCATAGGTAAGTGAGAGATTTCTTTTCCTCTCCAAAAACAGTTACATCATCCGACGTGTGACTGTTCAGTATGTGCTGTAGGGTGTGTGCAGGGCTTTGTAAATCTTCATAGTGATTATGAATGTCTGTAAGATTTGTACAGTAAATCATTTTGAGTGTTAATGTTAAGCATGAAACCAACACAGCAGCTGTTGTTCCTAAAAATGAGTTGTCCTTTAACCTGTCCAATCTCCTAAGAGAAGTATTCAGTGTTGTGCAGAGGCTTGAGATCCTGGAAAGAGTGCTGCAGTCGTGACAAGAACAAGGAGCGCACTTGCGTTCCTCGTGGCGGAGCACATTTTGGAAGAAGCACTCGTTTTTCAGGCCAACAATTGCTGCCTTTGAATCAGACGTAAACAGCAGATTTCTCACAAACACTCAGTTGTAGCAGCGTTATTTAAGCTGGTATTTTTTCCCCTTGGGAAGATAGCTTTGTGTATTGGCTTTCGTTACACACGGAATGTGTCGCGTTTGTGTTTAAATGGCTTAGTTATAAGCTACTGCACTCTGCTCGTGTCTGTGTGTCTCTGTGAGGTCCTTCTACCCGCTTGATGCGGTCTCGATGATGTATTTTCTCTTAGTGTCAGATGTCATTGCGCTTTGTGGCAAGCTGCTGAGAACAAGGACAGTAGGGACCTGCACTCCACACCCCAGTTCTCTGTACCATCACAGAAAACTTCATTTTGGTTCACATGGGATGAAAAAGAAATAAATATTCACCAAACAATGCTGTCTGAAGAATATTTTCTACATTGTTTGCTAATTGAATTCAGGTTTCCCACGGCAAGTGTAAATGTAAGCATATGACGTGGAACTGACAAGATGTTTAAAAACAAGTTAGAAATGCATTCGGTTGTCTTTCCGGAGAGCGTGTCACATTGCCACTACTCGTGCCAGCTGGAGTTTTTTAGGACCAGCAGTCAGGAATTCCCTTCCAAGTGTCGCCATTCAGCTACAATACACAAAATGAATGCTTCAGAGTGGTAACTGCTAAAACCTGGACCATTTCAGCAGCTCTCAGGTTGTTTCGTGTGCTCGAGTCTATTTTCCTGACATTGGGGGCTCGAGGTGGGGCATATGAATGAGGTGGTGAGGTTGGGTATGCACAGAGCCTCTCGAGGAGCTCTGATTTGGAGGTGAATCTTAGTCCATGGGCAAAGAGTTACACAGTTTTTAGGGTGTTTTAGGCCCAGTCCTGGGACAGTGTCTCTCAGGGCTCTTTGAGGTGACAATAACATTCATGGTCACTACGTTTCCATACTTTAAACCATGCTGCAGTGTGTGATGAAGCTTTTGCTACAGATCTTTAGATGTGCGATTTCTTAGTAAGAGGGAAGGTAAGCCATGGTGGGAGCTGGAAACTTCTATTAAAGGGACAGCTGTTACCTGTGGATTGTGCTGTTTGGGGATTGGCACTGCTGGGGCAGACCCCATCCCCACTGCCAGGCTCTGTGGTGACCCTGAGTGCTCAGGGTCAGCACACATGGTCTGTAGCTCTCAGGTGCTCCATGCTGAGAGGTGACCGAGGCCCAGGCTCCCCTGCACAAAGCCAGGGTACAGGGAGGGCACAGTGCAGGCTCACAGGCTTGGAACACACAGCACCAAGGGACAGAGGAGGACTTTGACCCTGACCCACACAGCCTGGAAAGTGGACCTGAGGGCCAGGTAACCCAGGACCCCACTGGCACAAGTCTAGACCCGCAAGTCCCATGGCCTCCGTCTCTATCTTGTACAGTGCACCCCATGCCCTCCTCCCTGCACTTTGTACCCTGAGGCCTTCATCCATCCCGCAACCTGAGGTCAATGAGGAAGGATGCACATCTTCCCAGGATCCTGCAAGAGTCTTGCTCTGAAGCCCAGGGTGATGAGAGCTCTCATGGGCCTCAAAACCTTCCCAGCACCGGGTGGGCCACACCTGGGGTCCCTGGGTTCTGCCAGAGACTGCAGGCTGCGTGTGGGGCTCAGGTTCACCCTGCTTACTGCTGGCCTTGGAAGCTGGGGGGTGTCTCTACCCCACCCTTCGACATCCTGCTGTCACTAGGTCAGAGAAAGGGACTACAGGCACAGAGGGACGTGCGGTGGTTTGGGGTTTCAGCAAGGAAAGGCATATGCAGAGGCAAAGTGGCAACACTGGACACCCAGTCTTTCAGACCTGAC